TCTGAGTTGTCTGACCCAATATAAAATTCCATCCATATTCGAATGGTTTTGATAAACTGTTCCACTGATAAAGGATTTAAAACCTACCAGATGCTCCTGTTAACCAGAACTTGCAAAAATGGAGGCAGTGCAATTACCCCAGATTTCTTCACAAAACAAGAGCTCATAGATGGAAGAGAGGTGAGCATCATAGCTTTCTCTTGCAAAAACAGCAAAATCAAGATAGTATTACTTGGCATATAACTGGATATTATAAAATCTCATAACGTTACTGAGGCTTCCCGAGTTTAGGAAGAAATAATCCTCGCTGAACAAGTATTGATCACAATACCAGGAGGCTCTTTTAACTCTCGACTTTGAAAGTTGAGGCATCTGCAGCCTCAGTGTATATGTAGCCAATTCATACTGGTGTTTCAAGTGCTACAGATATGGCCATCTCAATTCCACATGAAGCCTATGTAGCAGGTACACAACACAAAAGTTTGATTTCATGCTTGATGTACCAAAGAATGGCCATCACAAGGGCAGTTGTAAGGCCAAATTCCTGCGAAGCCAAATAAATTGATCGTCTCAATTGCCATGAGTCAATGTAATAAGCAACTAGTGTGTGAGCTACCGCTGCTGTGGTGGAGAATAATATTGTGTGCTGACCTGACTATCATGAGGAATCATCCTCTTGGGTGCTCTCTAACACCTGTGACACAGCACAATCCCACATTAAGGTGGAAGAGAACAACTGACAGAATTTTCAGGCTACCGTGGCTGATTGGCTTGCAACAAATGAACGCCCTCACATGGATAATGTGAATATGCTTGATGTCAGCTTGATAAGGACCATTAATTAGACAAACTCAATTACCGTATCCAAACCTGCTCAAGAACTGCAAGGACTCCTAGTTTACGAAACCAGTGGGCAACCCCAAGAACCACATGTGCAGAGAGAAACTTCATAAGATACAAAACCTCAGAGAATCTCCCCCTCTAGACCCATGGTGTCTGGTATGCGGTTTGGCAGAAGAGGATCGAATATTGCAAGTGTTTGTGACCACCAGACATTCATCACTGATATGTGAGAAGTCTATCAATTACTCAGCCCCAAGGTATGCCATAACCCTCAGAAAGATTCGCTGTTAAATTCTCAGGTAACATCATACTGCCGGCGGAGCTAATGGCCGATTGGGAATGCCTCCACACAGTTTTTCCCTCACATTAGGACCAAAGCTGCCAAGCGTATGGATTCAGATACCTCGTTCTTCTTAAAAGATAGTGGGATTCCCTTTCCTGTCATTTCACACTTAAAATTGTGAGTTAAGCTTGCATTGGTTCAACTCATCAGTTGGTCCTGGGATAGCTCTACCCTCATCCAACCAAAGGAACCACGTAGATGCCGTCCCATTTCTCTCATTAGCTGCCGGGAGGAATTAGCATAAAGAATGGTGCAAGACAGACTCCAATGAGAAGTTCAAATCTTTTTACTGCAGTAGTTCACCAAGGGAATAAGAACTGAGCACAGTGTAGTCACTTTTGTGAGCGCCGTTGGAACTGTCGATGCTGGAGTTGTCTTCTTCACTCTTGAACTGGCAAATACTCTTTTCATCAGGGAAATAAAGAGGAGCATCAAGGGCAAGTTCCTGGCCTGGATATGGGGCTACTTCGGGAATGGATCTACCAAGGTGGGATTCCTGGGTCCTCATCCAAAGCACCAACCACTTTTATATGGGACCTGTCAGGGTGTGGTCCTCTCTCTGGCATTATTCAGTGCTCCAATGACCCGCATCCTTGACATCTAACTCCCAGAAGGGTGCAGGATATTCCCCCATACAGATGATATTTAAATCATAGGGCTCATCATTGTCTGAAGTTCAGGAGTGCTGTAGAGGGACAAACTGAACCAGAAATTTTTGGATACCCCCTGATAAAAGGTACTAAGATGAACTGATTATGAACAGTTTGCAAACCACTCCTGGTTGCCCTATTAAACCAGGGTGCCAATACATGTTCAGTTAAAAAAATAGTAAAAATTCTTCCAAGGGCATCATATACTTAATGGATATATCAGCTGGCCCATCTTGCTTCATCCATTCAGGTTACAAAAATGAAAACTGGAAAAAGAGTCAGTGACGATGAGAGGGAAACAGTCAAGCCATTTGAAATATTTGAAATACAGAGAAAAACACTTTTATTTGTCAAACATATGCATTTTATGTAATACCAAAATCTATCTTTACAAATATCACTGCGATATGTTCACAAACATATACAAAGTATGTTATATACAAGTAGGAGTGAGTGGTGTGGTTCCGTCATTGATTACCATCCCCATCCTGCCTCCATCGGTATGACCTTTTAGGGGGAACAGGGGGATACTAACCAGATACTAACTGGTAGTGTAGGGTGCCCACTGCCTTTCTTCCTGTAGTTGTTTCACATCAAACAAGCACAAGAAAATGAGAGATTAGGTTAATCTAATGACCTGGTAAGGCCAAAGGAACTTATCTATAGAGTCCTCCGGAAGGATGCAGGACAAACCTGGCCTGAGCCTTTGACAAGAGTCCCTTTTGTGCTTAGGTTTAGAAGCAGATATATCCTAAGTGCAGCCACTGACAGTTGGTAGCTGTTCACGAACCTTACTAGGATAAATAAAGAACCCACACTGTCGCACCTCAGTTCATTCTTGGCCATAAACCCCAAGTGTAGGGCAAGAGAAACTGATACTCTGGGTAGGATACATGAGGTGAGGGATGGTGAATTCATGTGAGCTCTCAGCTGTTAGACTCTGAGCTCTGAGGCCATGGCAATCAAAAACAAAATCCAATGGCCATTCCAGGATGGTTGCACTACAAATCCGGGTGAGGAAAGTAAAAGCACCTCATTGTCTGTAGAAAGTAGACTAGGGAAGTTCCCAGGGTACATTGAAGAGAGTTTGTAATTATTGCCAGGTGGATCAAGACTATTGCAAGGGGTCGATAAGAACGAACATTCCATGCAGCAAAAACTATGGTATGATCTAACTTGCTCCAGGATCTGTAAGCATTCCATACTGACTAATAATACCACCTCAGAGTTATGGTGTCTAATGAAATCATTTGCCACGATCACTGGTAGGGAGGTACCTAGTGACCTCTGCAGAATCTCAATATGTGAAGTTGTAAGGATCTCATGCAGTGAAGGACATAAGCCCCTTGCAGTACGACCTCATTTGGGGGTAAGGGGTGCAGAGATCATTGGAGCATGGTCGTGGATCCATAGATGGGACTCCTATCATAGAGCAAGGCAGGGGCCTCTCAACCAAATATCAAATAAGAATCCTCAAGCAGCATGAGAAAGTCATCTGAAAGTTAAAAGTTGGAAGACCTGAATTCTCTGCACTTCTTGGGGATAAGATAACAGAGTGGATCTACTGCTTTGATTGCATGGTTGAGGGAACCAAGCAGACTCTCCCGATGCTGATGTGACATTAAGAAAGTATAGTCAGAAAGATCTAAGACCACTTCACTGACCCCAAAGCCATGATCCACTAGAAGCCCAACCATGAGAGTGGTGTTATGACAACCAGATAGCACGTGCACAAGTTCAACTGCAGGTTCATTAACTTGCCCAGCTGAAAGTTTTCATCCCCTTTCATTCTCATGTGGATGACTTAACAAAAAAATGTCATCCAAGTACATCTGTATCACAGTACTCAAGCATGACTCAGTGGGTATAGCTGTTTAGTGAATACCCTTAGGGTAATAGAGTTCAAAGCCAAACACACCTGAACAACCAACATCCTCCAGAACTTTAAGGAATGGATGAGATATTTTACGTGGCACACACCAAGGAAGCTTATTTCAGAATCTCAAAGAGCCGGTCCATGTGGACCTGGCCCACCATTAGTTTTGATCATGTCCTTCAACAGGAGTTCATTAGCAGGGATGGACCTGCGAGCGGACTTCCCTGGAAAAAACTAGAGGAGAAGAGGGACCCACCTGCCTACCCAGAAACACTGGAGCCCAACATCACCACTTTTAATGCCCAATTCTGTGGAAAGGCAGTGAAGAATATGTAGATATAATGTTCTCTCTCTGCTTTTTTTTCATATTGCTTGCTGAAAAAATCTTTATTTCCATAATTCAAATATAATACCATATCATACCACTCTGGACTGAACCAAAGGCTTCCCCATGCACTATTCAATCAGGGCTGCTTCTTGAGCACCAGAAAACATAATATGTGTGTGTGAGTATGCACGTGTACATGCATGCCTGCATGCAGGTACTCAGGGAGTCCCATCCATTATATTTGAACAATAATAAAACTCTAAATTGTGGGTATAGAAATTCTTCACTATTGTATATATAAAACAGTAAAATGATTTCCCCCAATAATAACATATTGAAACCTTGGCTCTATATCATGACTTTATCATATGGATTTCAGTTTTCTTGGGAGATACTTCTTCATAACCACATTTTTAAAATACATTTTACACTTACATGTATATAAATTTATTTGCATCTCAATTATTTTTCTGAAACTATAGATCCTAAATTGTCTGCAATTCTAGATGGTTTGATTCCCCAAACTCTACTAGTGTTAGTATAGCTTATTTTTTCGCTAAGCTTACTCACTAGCGTTATCCTCCACTTTCCTGTAAGGAGTGTTAAAACAAAACACTTCAAAGTAACTGTATACATCAACCTCCTGAATATTATGTACACATATCAGTGAAGCAACTTGATCAGACTTTACTTCTTGGGAAAAAAATCTTATTTCTTCTATGCTGTGTCCACCCTTGTCACATATAAAATCCCTGTTTTATGTGGTGTCCACAGCTATTACTCACATAGAATTCTTTCCTTCTTTACAATGTGAGCTGGAGCCACCTCTATGGCTGTGGTTATTCTATCAGTAATACAGGCTTTTGCTTTTAAACCCCAGGAAAAAAAATAATGTATGTAAGCACTATGTACATTTTCCAGGATAAATAAAATAATACAATAAACTGTATGAAAAATGTATTCAAAAGTCATCTAAAAAATTAAAATCTGTACATTCATGGACAATCCCTGACCTTAGAAGTCAAAAATTTTTATTTATTTTTTTGTTTATTCTATCTTATTTATTTGTCCTTCTTTTTAAGTAGATATGAGAATATGCAAACCAAATACCTTATTTTTTCCTCAACATAAGCAGAAAAAGACATCCTCAGACACTCTTACCATACAACACAACTAAATTTGCAATACCTTTAACATGTTCAAATTCACACTAGTTTTGTTTCATCTCAGTTCTATCTAATACCAGCATATCATAAAAATTAACAAAAACATAAAACTAAAATGCAACATCCATGTTCCAAAAGTAACAAAGAAATACATAAAGAGGCAATATTTAATCACTCACATTACAATTGATTTCTTTTACAACTACACAGAGACAATTACTTTCTCGTACCATTAATCTGATGAATCCAGCATCCATCGATAAGGGAAATACTTCTCACCTATTTATGACAGAGGAAAAAATACATGTTTTTAAAACTGATATTATATCTCAACAGTATATTCATAAACATCATACAAACATCTGTAGTTATATAGTCTAACACTAATCTGATGAAAGTATTCAAAAACTAAATGAGGATATAATGATATTTTTAAGAACTGATAGTTACTATAACTACAAACAATATAATAGGTTTTATATCTTTAAATTTATATTTACATTTTCCATGTGCATATTATTAAATTTACATTTTCCATGTGCATATTATCTTTTTCATATAATCTACCTAAAATAGTCCCACTATTAGTTATAAGCCCCAATTGATAATCTATTCTTATTTGATAGGTGCCTTACATAAATTAATAGCTTATAAATTGGAAGAGATTTATAAGCCTCAAAGCAAAGAAAAATCAAATAATTTTTTGAGTTTGGATGCTCTGGTGTACCTATACATGGTGGACCTATACATGCTCATAACAATAGTGTAACATGCAACCACTTTGTGTCTAGTGTTATATATGTGTTGGAAAAGTTGTCAGTAATATCAGTTATCATAAAGAAAAAATAAAATATCAGAAACAAATTTGTCTTTACATTTTAGCATGTGACTACAAAAATTCTGAGATTTATCTGCATTTTTTATATTCATTCATACTAGTTCATAAAGAAAAACATTCACTCTTTCTCTTACCTAATATCTGCCTTATGTCAGTAATGCGAATTCCTTCTTCATTAACTATAAAAGTACGAAGATCCTCTCGCTGTTTTAATGACATAATATGGGTACCACAGTCCACTCTCATTTTCTGTAATATGATACAATTATACTAATTTAAAATTAAAATATTTCATAATCAACAACCATTTCTATTATGTATGTGGAGCAAATATATTAATCTTTAATAAACACATGGTAATTCAACTGACGCTGTACATACACAACACACCATTCAAACACTCACACCTAAGGCATAACTGACTGAATGGATTACAATAAAATGAGTAAAAAAAGTTCATGCAGGACAAACTGACTACATGACAATAGTCCTCACTAATCTGAAAAAAGGTCAGGTAGTTTTCATGTAGTTTGAAGCTTTTTGCACATTGACACTTTTGAGATGAACTTTGATAAAGAATATTGTACAAAAATATAAATGAGATATATATATATACATGTATATATATATATACACACACACACACACTTCAACTATTTTGTATATAGTAAACAAATGCAAAATCTTACTGACGGGATAAAAGCAACAATATAAACACAAACATTTACCAACCCAAAGAAATTCCTATGACCAAATGCTCCTATGATAGCTAATTCTAAAAATACCCATAATCAACTTCTATGGATACACACACTTACAATATATTTATCAGTGTGTTCTGTACCAACCACGTGATTGTACATGGCTTCCATCTTTTCATGATATCCACACAAAATGCACTTGTAATAGAGCTTCCCTGGTACATAAAACTCCTCAACCATTTGGAGACCTGAAATGACCATAATAGGTTATACATGAAATAAGTACTTGAAATGTCCTATGCCAGTAATGATGTATGTAAAGATGCTTGCACTGGAAAACTGATGTGGGAAGATGACATATCTCTTAATACTGATCTTATCCCTACTTATATTCAAGTAACGATAGTAAAATAATGAAGTGAAGATAATTGGTTATTGGTGAGTTGAACTGATAATTTTTTTTTTTTTTTTTTTTTTTTTTTTTTTTTTTTTTTTTTTTTGTAACCAGTCCTGTTATTCTAGAACGAAACTCACCGATGGCTTTGGCGTTTGTGCTCTCCAGCATGTCACGTAAGTTTAAGTACTTCCGAGCCACTCCACGTGGCTTATAGGTACATATGTTCTGTGAAGAAACACATTCTGAAATTCCTCTTATAACATAAAACATCAATCTACATCTATAAATAAATACACAATAAAAAATATACATGACATATTATAAATAACATTCTAAGACAAAATACCTTACCTTCTAGCTATGAAAAAAAAAAAAAAAAAAAAAAAAAAAAAATCTCAAATCACATGAATTGTCATTTACAAATTTGTAAGTTCAAACTTGAATAAAAATATGCCAAACACAAACAAAACCTTACAAAAATCATTCATAAATCAGAGAAACAAGTAATTACCTTCAAGTGACTTCCAGATCGATTGTGATCACACATGGACTTTACATGGTTCATAATCTTGTTACAAATCTGAAGAGAAACTTCAGCATTAGTTCCTATAAACTACAATTTTTTATTAGTTATTCATTATCATATAATCAGGATAATTTAATATTACGTATTTGTCAAAATCGGTAAAGAGGACATCACATCAAAATTCCATTTACATATCACTTTGGGTAAATATTCGTTCTTATTCATAATTCTTTTATAAGACATAAGATAAACAATAATGAAGTCTATGCTTGGCTAAAATTTAAGTGTTCAGTTCACAATATTGTTCTGTTTCTCTCAAGTATGTTTTATCCACAAAGCTAGAAATGAATCAAGGTAACAGATCTCTTTGGAGAAATATGCAGATTTGCAACCCTAATAACATTACACCTAATTTATTACATGATTTCATTCTCATGTTTCATATATCATAAAAAAATGAACTTACTGTACAGAAAAATTGCATCCTTTGCCCAGAGTCAAGCTCTACATCCCATTCCTGGCCATATATCGTCTCTGAAAGAAACGTTTAAAAAATATTTACAAATTGAAAATTGAAAAAGAAGTAGAGAAAAAAACAGATTGTTTTGAGAGAGAGAGAGAGAGAGAGAGAGAGAGAGAGAGAGAGAGAGAGAGAGAGAGAGAGAGAGAGAGGAGAGGAGAGGAGAGGGAGGGGGAGGGAGGGAGGGAGGGAGGGAGGGAGAGGAGAGAGAGGAGAGAGAGAAAGAAGAAAGAGAGAGAGAGAGAGAGAAGAGAGAGAGAGAGAGAGAGAGAGGAGAGGGAGGGAGGGAGGGAGGAGGAGGGAGGAGGGAGAGAGAGAGAAAGAAAGAGAGAGAGAAGAGAGAGAGAGAGAGAGAGAGAGAGAGAAGGAGAAGAGAGAGAGAGAGAGGGAGAGGAGAGGAGAGGGAGAGGGAGAGGGAGAGGAGGAGAGAGAGAGAGAGAAAAGGTTAGAGAGAGAGGTTGAAGGAAAATGAGAGAGAGTGAGGGAGAGAGAGAAAAGGTGAGAGAGAGAGGTTGAAGGAAAATGAGAGAGAGCGAGGGTGAGGGAAAAGGCAAGAGAGCAGGGAGAATGAGAAGAAAGGTGAGAAGAGAGAGAGGGAGAAAGAGAGAGCGAGGTGAGGGAAAAGGCAAGAGAGAGAAAAGGTGAGAGAAAATGCACGAGAGAGAGGGTGAGGGAAAAGGCAAGAGAGAGAGAAGAGGTGAGAGAGAAAGAAGAGGAAAGGGAGGCAAGAGAGAGACAGAGAGAGGGAGAGAGAGGGAGAAAAGAGCAGAGAGAGCAAGGGAGAGGGAAAAGGCAAGAGAGAGGGAAAGTGAAAAGGTAAGAGAGAGAGGGAGAGGAAAAAGGCAAGAGAAAGAGAGAGAGAGACAGAGCCAGAGAACTTACACATTATCATTATATTGTAAATAAATCTAATTATATGATATTTCTCAGTTTTCTAGAAAATAGACAATATTCAATATCATAGAAAATATAAATGTATCAAACTTAAATAGAAATACTATAGTCTGTTCTTACTTGCTGCTCTTCTGAAGTCGTCTATTTTGTTCTTGCGGTAACAAAAATGCTGAAATGAACCCAGCAATTCTATAGCCTGTGACTGGAGATAAGAAAAAAAATGTATATATAAGCTTATATCTTTTAGCATATCCATCTACCTGCATAACTGAATATCCATCTACCAAGGTTTATGCCTATATATCTATTTTTTTTATTTGTCTACCTACATATTTTTTTTCTATTAAAGTGACTATCTTCGAGAGACCTCCAATGTGGCCGACACTGCTCTGGGTTGCAATCATAACAACCACTTGCTGCCTATTATTTATGAAGCGTAAATACGGCCTCAAGTTATTTTAATTTATTCTCATACAGACTTTGTACTTTGCATATGCCCTAAACATATGAAGGATAAGGTTTGGAAGGTTGGTATGGTGCATATTTTAAATCTTATATGAATTTGTATTTGACTTTTGCCTGTTCTTATGGAAATTGTTATGAACCTTTCTTATTCACTGATATTCATAATATCAATATCCTTTGGATATATTTTAACAATGTTCATGGGTAATATCAATTACAGCAGTTGTTGGGATATATATATATATATATATATATATATATATATATATATATATATATATATATGCAATTACAGACATTACCACTAAAAATTGGTGTAAGCCATTACACAATTATGCAGCAACATAATAAAGTGAATAACACTGAAACAAAATAAAAACAATTAAATCACCAAAAATCAAATTCAATTTTGAGTATAACTAGAAATATCTTGTTTTCTACTATTAACTTTTCAGTTTCATACCAGGTTAAGATATAACACTATAAATGTAAATAAAAAGTATATCTGGCTGTGTTCCAGCAATTTTCTTTGATTATTTAATGAATCAGATAAGATTAAATGTGGGTAACATAACCTACCTTATTCATTTGATCTAAGGAAACACAGGAACTGCTGCTCTGCAAGTGATATATGGTAACTGTGGAGAAGTTGAGAAATAAAAATAAACAATATCTAAATATTTGATACAAAGAAAAAATAATGAAATCTACTGTATACATGAATGTTCAATTAAAAAAAAAGATATGAATTTTATAGGAAAAACCTCAGTTATACAGCCACTAGAAATCAACAATCTACTGCCAACTGTGACATACAGGCCGATCACGTCAGTTTCAAAGCATAAAATAATTCTGACAGCGTTTTAACATAGTTGTTGGGAGTTCCAAATACTTACTTTTGATATACACAGTACAAAAAGCAGTACAATTCAGATCAAGCTGCAGGAATTCCTCCTTAATCCCTTCAGAATATGTGTACTATATTTAACCAAACTCGGGTCAGGATACAAGAAAAAAATTATAACTAATGGATCCTACAGATTTGAATGTGATGTCTTATAACATTAACTTTGAGCAACAGATTTCACAAATACAAATCAGTTTTTACTGTGTGTGCTTGAGTATTGAGTTAAGAGATGAAATACCACCTCTGCCTCAGGTGACAAGATAGCATGTCACTTAAGTGTTAGAGAGGGTTCCAGACGAGCAGCTGTTGTTGTTTCTTTCTAATCTATGCTTTCTTAAATCACGTTGAATTATTCTACTATATTCACATGTCAGAAAAGTGATGAATCCCCTAATGATAGTGGGCTGGGTACATTTACCAAGACACGCTGATTAGAAACAATTAAAATACCTCAGAAATCCCTAGAAAATGAAAGGAAGATTGTCATTGAAGTAACCTTCCCTATCCCCTAAAAAAGAAAAAGAAATACATATAAAATAACCTGAATATGTGACCTCTGCATGAAATTGAAATAAAACAATCTGAATCTAAAACATAAGTAGACAATATCAAACATATAATACAAAAGCAAAAATGGAAATCATAAAAACAAAGTACCAGATGGAACAATGGTATATGCTTATAGGCCTACAACATCCAGAAAACATTTGCAACCAACAACCAATTTCTTTCAAATAGCTGAATATGAAGAAATATGCTAATAAAAACAATGCATATGGATAGATCTAAAGAAATATTTATTTAATCTGAAACAGACGTTGCTGCACACATTTGAGGTGCATACTATACAACCACATGCATTAAAATCTTAACTGTTGGTACAATATAGCTAATAAATGTATTTTACCTACCGTTTCATTATGACATTGATGTCTATCATGCAAAGGCTTCAGAATAATGACCCACAGAATTCAACCACATGCATGATTATAGAAACAAGAAAATTCACAGAAAAAACTACTTTTTTCTCCTTCGTGTCCTACTTCTTACTATCTTTTTTAATCAGTTGTTGTCACATCTCACCTGACACTATAATCTTGCAGTCTTTATTCTTGGTCTCGCTGAGAGTAAAAGGCAGAGCTGAGGACTTGCGGCGTTCATTGACAACTAGAGTTGAAGATCATGCATGAGACCGTTATGAACTGGCTCCGGGGAGGATATGGCAATTGGTGCTCTCTCTGTGCCTCTTTTCCTTTCATTCTCGTTTTCGTTTTACGTTCTTTCTTTATTTATTTATATAATTCCTTTCTCTCCCTCTCTCTCTTGCCTTTCCCATTTCCTCTCTCTCTCATTTCCCTCTCCCTCTCTCCCACATTTTCCCTCTCCCTCTCTCTCTCTCTTTCGCCTTTTCCCTCTTCCTATCTCTCTCGCCTTTTCCTTCCCTCTCCTTCTCCTCCCTCCTCCCCCCTCTCTCTCTATCTATCTATCTATCTCTTGCCTTTTCCCTCTCCATCTCTGTCTTGCATTTTCCCTCTCTCTCTTTCTCTCTCCCACCTTTCCCCTCTCCTCTCTCTCGCCTTTTCCCTTTTCCTATCTCTCTCGCCTTTTCCCTCCCTCTCCCCCTCCTCCTTCTCCTTCTCCCTTCCCACCCTCTCTTTTTCTGTCTCTCTCTTTTTAAAATTATTTTATCCATACGTGCAGTTCCTGATGGAAGTATATATCTCAATCATTATTTGCTTTATGGTGTGGCACGTGGTAAAAGATTAGAATAAGGCGTGAGATACCCCCCAAAAAATATTTAAAGAAACTGTAAAATGTTTTATTGTAACTGTTACGTTCTTTGGTTTTTGACAAACTCCGGGGTCCCGGGGCTGCAGGCTCATGTCGGGGACTAGACTCTAGACTCTAGCGACAGCGCCCTGTTGGGGAACCAGTGAGCGAAGCCTCCAGGAGCTCCTTGGTTTTAGGTTTCAAAGAAATAAAACCAATAATTTCTGCACCAAAATTTCAGACATTTTGATTTACATACTGGTTATTTCACACTGA